ATGTGATATTTAATGCCCTCAAATCTCCACTAAAATAAAAGCTCTTTGAAAGTAAGAATCATAACTGTCCTTTTCACCACTGTATCCCCATCACCTTGCAGAGTAATTGGAATATTGAAGAGGCACAATGAGTATTTTTTTTAATTATTATCTAAACAGTGGAAACTTGTAATTTTATAAGAAACATAGGTGTTTTATCTGTTCCTGAGAAAAGTCAAGGTGTATAAAACTGACAGTAAAAAGTAACATAATGAAACTATTAGACTGAAACAGAGTAGTATATATGGGTACTAGCAATATGACTACATTACTACTTAAAAATAATCTATTTTCTAGAAAAATCTTTCAGTTTCTTTCATACTCTGTCTTTTCAATGGGCATCAAGGCATTGCATAAGCATTTTCTAACACTCAGTTTAAGTACATGTAATGCAACAAAACTTATTATGTATGATCATTACACTGACATAAAGGCCCCATAATTCTAGCAGCAAATTATATGACATAAGGAAAGATTATTTTTTCCTTGATATATATATATATATAGTGTATATAAATACATATATATTTTTCACAATCTTTCTCAAATGCATTGTAAGAAATATTATTGAGTTGAACCATTCTTATTGTTAATAGGGTGTTGTAAACATGTGTTTAAATACATTTAATTTTTTTGCTGACAGCATAGAATTCCTAATGATGAAAACACTAAACCTGTATACCTGAATGAGTATAGGATTTGCTTTCATTGTCTTATACCTTGTTTCCAGGTTTCTTTGTAGTCAACATTACGCTGCATTGAAAGTAAGTAAAGAGAAAGACACACTTTGCCCATTCACCACCCCAACTGCCCATGAAAGTGATTAATTACATCACAGAAAAGTGTCATGAAACTATTCACATAAAATATGATTCTTTTATTTTTGGAATATCAAAAATAAACCCTCACAATAGTTTTAAAATTTAAAAAATTGGCTCACTTGCCAAAAAACATAGTAATAAGGTTGGTATCAGCTAACATTTAATCAAGGGTCCAAAGGATATTATTACCAGCACCCAGGACCACTCCCTCTCATAGATTGCCCAGAGCAACAGAGAGATGCACATAATGGCAGAGAACACATAGTGACAGTCTTGCCCAGCAAAATGAATGAAGGAGGCAGGAGAAGGAGTGAATCTCAGAAAATCAAAATGTAGAGGGAACTTTTGCTTTGATTTCAATACTGTAGTCCTGAGATGAGACCAAGCCTTGGGCAGAAGCCTCATGCTATGTATATTGCTGGGCTAGTAGATTTAAAATGGTTCTATAAGTCTTCTAGAAAAGTGGGTCAGATTCTATCTGCATTCCCCAAGAAGGCTGTGGAAGTTCTTTCAAAGTGAGAGAAAGGACTCTTTTGAAGAAGGTGCTGCATATAGATTGTCTGGTGAGAAATCAGATCAGCATCCAATTTATGAGCACCAGTCACAAGGGAAGATGACTGTTTGAGCTCCAGGCTGGGCAGGGTGTCTCAGCAAAGGCCAACAGAGTCTGGTGCTGCTGTGTGAAGATCAGTGGATATGAAGACAGAGCAGCCAATTACAGCGTGGTTGGATAACAATAATGGATGACTCCACACTGCTTCCTCAATGGCATATACACCCCTTCAGGTACAGTATTAAATGGCAGGAGGAAGGATAGAAATTGCAAATTGAGTTTGCAATGGAAACGACTCAGAAAAAGTTGGAAGTGACTGAATTTGCCTAGAGATAATTACATTATCTTTGATGATGCCAGGTAGATCAGATTTAAGAAAGAGCAGCAAAGGTAGTCATAGGAAAAAAAAAAACCAAAGCAACTTAAATTTACTTAAATCATGCATTAAACAGGTACAATCCCCTCTCCTGGAAATGGCTATAAAATTGAGTGTAAATCTGGTAGTGAGGAAATTTTCTGGGCAAAATCAGTTTTCTCACTTGAAAATTCAGAGGAGGGGACTAGAGCTAGCTAAAGTTCTTCTCAGTGCAAATCAGGCAAAAGCACCATTCAGAAATGGAGAAAGGGGAGTGGAGATTCACAGCTAAGGGACAGCATGACCAAAGGAAGTATCTCTTGTAAAGCAAGGGAGTATAACATGTCTCGTGGAGAAGGGAGAAGAAGAATGTCTAGTCAAGTTATAGGGAAGACGGATCCTGACAGTGAGACCCATTAGATCCAAAGTCATAGGTCCTACAAACCTTGTAATAATTGCTGACCACAATGTGGCTGGCAGAGCAGAGCTGCCAGCACATCGGCATCACCAGGAAGCTTATTAGAAGTGCTGAATCTCAGGGCCCACCCCAGATGAACTGAATCAGAATCTGAATTTTAACAAGCACCCTAGATGATTCCGTGCATTAAGTCTGAGAAGCAAGTTCTAACTGTCTAACTAGAAGAATGGCTGAGAATATAAATATAAGTTCTATGTAAGCAGGAAATTTTGCCTATTTTATTTGTGGCTTTAACCAGAGCATCTATAATAGTGTCTGATATATGGTGAGTACATAATAAATATTTATTGAAAAAGCTATCCATCTTAATTCCACCTTCATTCAAAAAAAAAGCAAATTAAAGTACTTACACAGACAGTTGGTAGCATAGCTTTTGAACATGAAGGGCAGCTTCAATCATTCCCCCTAACCAATAATTAAAAACAAAGTTAATGTCAGACCTTTGAGAGTTTCCTTATTTGTATCAAATTCATCAATAATTTCGCTCTTTCACTATTCCTCCATGCAATGATGAAAAGTGATACAAAACTCCACAGTTTTTACATTTTATTGTTGGTAGGTGAGAAAAATATTTCTTATAGAATTAACACATTTCCTATTCTGCTCTGTATTTATCTTCATCCATAACTATATGGGTCACTTATTCATATATTTATTTAGGATGAATTTTTTCTGTACTCTATGAATTGGACTTAGTTTTCTGAAGAAAAATGTGAAATGTATGGGTATTTCAAAAAGTTAATGGAAAATGCATATTATGCAAAAATTTTGCATGGATTTAAAATTGAAGCAAACATATCAAATTTGTGGTGAAGCTTGGGTGGAAGAATGGTGAAATCATTGATGCTTTCTGAAAAGTTTATGGGGATAATACACCAATAAATCACCAGTTTATAAATGGATAACTCATTTTAAGAAGGAAGAGACAATGTTGAAGATGAAGCCCTTGGCAACATACCATCCACATAGATTTGTGAGGAAAAGATTTATCTCGTTTGTTCCCTAATAGGAGAGGACTGATGATTAACAGCACAAACAATAGCCCATACCACAGATATCTCAACTGGTTTAGCTTACAGAATTCTGACTGAAAAATTAAAGTTGAGCAAACTCTGCCCTTGATGGGTGCCAAACTATTGGGTCCAGAAGAGCTGCAGACGAGAGCAGAGCTTTCAAGAGAAATTTTAGTAAGTGGGATCAAGAGCCTGAAGCATTTCTTTGGAGAATTGTAACAGAAAAAACGTGGCAGCTGGGCGCAGTGGCTTACGCCTGTAATCCTAGCACTCTGGGAGGCCAAGGCGGGCGGACTGCTCGAGGTCAGGAGTTTGAAACCAGCCTGAGCGAGACCCCGTCTCTACTAAAAATAAAAAGAAATTAATTGACCAACTAAAAAGATATATACAAAAAATTAGCCGGGCATGGTGGCGCATGCCTGTAGTCCCAGCTACTTGGAAGGCTGAGGCAGAAGGATTGCTTGAGCCCAGGAGTTTGAGGTTGCTGTGAGCTAACCTGACCCCACGGCACTCACTCTAGCCTGGACAACAAAGTGAGACTCTGTCTCAAAAAAAACAAAAAACAAAACAAACAAAAAAAAAAAAACCCCAGAAGAAACGTGGCTTCACTAGTATGTTCCTGAAGACAGAGCACAGTTGGAACAATGGCTACCAAGGGGAGAAAGGGGACCAATCAAGAGCAAAAGTAATGGCAACAATTTGGAGGGGATGCTCAAGGCATTTTTCTTGTTGACTTTCTGGAGGGCCAAAGAACGGTAATATCTGCTTACTATGAGAGCGTTTTGAGAAACGGACTCAAACGTTTTAGCAGTAAAACACCTGGGAAACCTTCACTAGATGGTCCTTCTCCAGCAGGACAATATTCCTGCTCAATCCTCTCATCAAACAAAAGCAAGTTTGAGAGAGTTTCCACCGGAAATCTTTAGGCGTTCACCTTGCAGTCCTGATTTGGTTTGTTCTGATATTTCTTTTTTTGTTGTTGTTTCATAAGCTTAAAAAATCTTTAAAATGCATCCATTTTTATTCAGTTAATACTACATAAAAAAGACAGCATTAATGTGGTTAAATTCTAAAAACTCTCAGTTCCTTATAGCTGGTAACATCGTTTAACAAAAGTGTCTTGACCTTGATGGAGCTTATGTTGAGAGATAAAGTTTACATTTTCTATTTTTATATTTAATTCCACTTTTTCCTTGAACTTTTAAAAATCCCCTCCTAGAATCACTGTCTTTAAATAGTTAAGACCCGGTGGTATAATAAGCTTTTAAAGTACTAACTACCCATATTAAACAGAAGAGAATGAATTATGTAAAATAGAATTTATATGCAAAATAATGAGAGACTGTTCCAAGCACACGCACAGGACAAGAAAAGGCCAAAGTCCAAGCCTGACTGATTTAGCAACTAAAGATATAATGAGTTACTTTTAGATTCAGACAGTTACTTAGACAATGAAAGGAAGAATAACCAAAGGGGCCAGCTCCCCCGATCCTTTTCTCACACACCCAAAAGGACAACATCAAAACAAAAGGGGCCAGATCGGCTGCAGTGTGAGTTGTGGGATATTCTGGGGCTGAGGAACCAGTTTCAGACTGCAGCTAAGCAGTTTTATAATTTGCAGCTCCATGAAGAAGAGGATGGAGTAGAAAGCCCCACACCTCATCAGAACTCTGGAGGAACTGTGACAGTGTCTCCTGACAGTGCCCCAGGGTAGAAGAGAGTGGAGTTCTCTGGTGTTCCAGGAGGGTCAGGAGGCACGCTGGCCACACTCACATTCTCTTTACTTCCGGTTTGAGTCTCTGTGTGGCCTTTGTGGATCTGTGCAGCGCTTGAGGGTCACCATGGTGAAGCCATTGCCCTACAGGATTGAGTTCAGAAATAGTAGTAATTAATTCTTCCTGGGCAATATTGGAAAGGATTCACTGTAGAGGCATAAGAGGCAAAGGGGTTTTGTTTGTGACATCAGTGATTCTGCCCTCAAAAGTGGCATTTTAAATAGACCTGAGAGTAGACATGAGACGTAACCAGAAGTGAAATCCCCTTTTATCTGTTTAGCCAGAGAATGAATGCATGTGAGAATAATTTTTTGATGAATAAAGTGAAAATTAATAAAGAAATGAAGACATGGATATTGAAAAGAACAAAAGAGAAACGCAAATAGTAATATGTGGGACTTGTTATTCTAAGAGGTGGTAAAATACAAACTGCATAAGGAGAATCCAGTAATGTTTAGATACCATGCCAGGCACAGGTTCATGCATCTTATTAACACCATTGCCTTCCAGCCCCTTAGGTGCTTGTTAATCCTCAGCCATCATCATGGAGTTTTCTCTGAGAGGGGTCACCCACAGCCCTGATGCCACAGCCTAATGACTCTGCCTGCCTACACATAGTTCCAGTGCTTGGGACTGTCCAGGAGGGCTGAGCTCTTCCTTTTGGCTCTAGGGCTAAACCAGTCAGAAACTTTAAGCAGCAGACTCCTCCTGTCACTCCCAGGTTGAGTAAAATATGTGGAGCATAAAATCTAGTTTCCAGAACAACTGACAAAGGGACTGGGAAATACAACTCAGAGGTGCAGTTACTCCCCTGATGGGCAAGGTTTGCTAAATGGAAAACAGAAAATGGGAGGATAAATGTCCTCTCCTTCCATTCTTCCACACAGTTTTCTGAGGAATGTTTTATCCATAGAGCTCATCCAAAGAGTCATGAGTGGCCAAGCAGGTGTGCATGCCAAGTGTCGTGCCTATCTATCTTTGTGGTTTGGTGTGAAGCAGGGGCAATGTAGACATGCATTATTTTGCATTCCTTTACATCCTTTCCTGTCTCATTCCTCTTTTCCTTTAAGCTCACTGACCTGGAATCATACCTTACAAATAAAGCATCAGCACTAACCCTTGCTCCAGTTTCTGTTCTCTAGAGAACTAGGACTAACACAGAAACATCTGTGGAAAATCTATGCACAAATGCAAAGGCACAACGGGTTCAGAACTCTCCTTAACCTTTTAAAGTACTATGACATTGCTCTGGAAAAAGACAATACTATCAAAATCTCTCCTAGTGCCTGCACTTAGTAGGCACTTTGTCAATGGTGATTGTATGGATCACATAATCAGAGTTGAATAGAACAAAGGCCATAAGTCACTGGTTCCATGTAAGAAGACAATTGTTCAGCAAAATGGTCAGCTAACAGACATTGCACTGCAGGAACAAAAAGGGAGGTTAGATGTAAGAGTTCTTATTTAAACAAACAAACAAAAACCCCAGCTGTGGTATTCGGCAATAAGCAGGACAATTTCAATTTTTCTATAATTTCTTTGGACCATCATTTGTACTTTTTTGTCTTCTTTTTTCTTCCTCCAACTGAAAAAATTGTCTAAACACTGAACGCTAACCCTTACCACCATTGTCTCTGTCTCTTCTTCTGCCTCTTCCTATCCTTTCTACATTCTCCTAGTGATCTTAGTCACTTATATGACATTGAGTATAATTTGTATCCAAACATCTCTCATTATATTATATCTGTCGATGACCTCTTCTCATTTCTTTTGTACATTTTCTTTAATCCTTTAAATATTTCACCTAGAATGATACACTGACTCTTCCCATTTTACGCATCAAACATTAAACTCATCAGTACCACTAGCTGATTCTTTTTCTTACCTCCTTTATGGTAATGATGTTTTCTCCCTAAATATGCCTGCGTGAATTGAGCAAAGGTAGTTACAAGACATTGCCTAAACTTATCGGTTGTATCAATTTTGTAAATTACGTGTGGGGCATCTTTTCTCAGCTCCTGCACACCAACACTGACCTTTTGAAAACTGATTACAAGTCTATTAATCAGATGTCCTAACCAAGCCCGTTCACTCCTTTTACAATAGTAAATTTCACTCACTAGATCCTCTAAAATGCTATCCATTTTGTGTGGTTTCACAGCTTAGAGAGCAAGGGTTTTATTTAATCAAATAACTATTACAAATGTATCAACCAGTTGAACGGGAAGGATGCAAAAAAGATAGAAATATCTCCAACACACCTAAAACATTGCAAAATGAAAACAGGATAAAATGCAAGAGAAGGGGATAGGTACCAGGATGCTGATACGAGAGAAAGAACCTAGAAGAAAAGACATGAATAGATGTGTTTCAAAATCTGAAAACCTGGATTCTTCTTCACCACTTTGATTTATCTTCCTAAGAATTATTATAATAAATGTCTTTCCCATAACAGACTCCAACTAGTCACTAATCCTTCATCTGGCTTTGTTCCCTTAAGTTCTGTTAACATTTTCTGACCCTGAAAAATACCCAATAAAGAACAATTTAACTCAAAATATCTTTAGTTCATTGTTATTGTTGCTTTTACATATACAACCAATAGGCTTTTAAAAAACCTTAATAAGTACAAAATAATAAGAACAATGACCACAGTAGTTTATTCAGAGTTCAGGCTCCAGGTTTTCTCTGAATTCCAAATGGATTGAATAACATCAGGCAACTACTTAACTTCCTTGTCATGGAGTTTGCTCATAAGGGTAATAATGGCATCCACCTAATTGTTTTTTTAATGATTAAATGAGATAATAGATTCTAAGAGTTTAGATGAGTGACTGGAACAGTGGCTCAATAAATATGAGCTATTAATTATTACGTTCTTATTCTGTGTCAGGAAATATTTTATGTTATTTAGAGGACAATGACTTATGCATTTTGGTGTTATCTGTGTTGTATTGCTGAAGGAAGCCAATAAATTTTGAATAAGTGAACTGAAATTTTCAGATATTGATGATTAAAAGATGATTCTGAAGTTTTCCACTTGATTTACTATTCTTAAGACAGAATAATTAGGTGGAAGAGAGGATTAGAGTTGTATTGATTGTGATGCCAAAAGTTCATTCAATTTAAGAAAATTTTTATACATTGTGAAATATCTACGTAAATGAGCATATGCCTGAGTAATTGCATTACATACTCAATATTTATTGAGCACTGACTTTCAAAACAGGCATATGTTAGATTCTAGTGAGGCAAAGATGAACCAGATAAAAATCCCTGCCTTCATGAAACTTACAGTCTTTACGTTACATAGGTCAGGGAAAAGAAAGCTGAGCCTGAGAAAATAGATTTTGTGCCATAGAATAAATAAGGAAAAGGTACAATGTAAAGCATGTGTCCTACTGATGCCTCATTAGCCATTGTATGTGAAATTTTTTAATATCATTTATTAATTCATAATAATTGTGACATCGAATGTCCAAAAATTAAAAAGCATCAGCTTCTATTTTTACATTAATAGAAACCAACAAAGAAAGGCTCAGGCCTTACCCAGGGCTCCTCTATGTCCATAATTTCCCAAGCAGAGAAACTGAATGCCTGAATTACTAAACAAGTCAGGCAGAGTTTAAACACCTCTCCCAATACCTTCTTTCCTCTAAGGACTTCAGTTGGTCACCATGTCAGCCAGGAACTGCCACTGCTTCAAACAGTTTTCCTCTTTTATTGAGAGGTCACCCACAGAGACCGAGGCAGGCAAAGGCAGAGTTCACCTTTGCTTTCTTCCTTGGCTCTGTCATATACCTGTGCAAGTGGAATCCCCAGTTAAAGTGATCCCTGAGGCCAAGGAGTTCTATTAAACTGCAGCAAGAACTGGGCAGCTATTTGCTCCAGGGAAAATCCTACTGCTGTGTCTAATAAGTATTTCAAAAGAAATAAATGAGCATGTCATTCATCCTATGATTACAGGATGAGTTGCAAGGGCAAGGTAGCTACTGGCCAGCAGGTCCTTTTCCTAATCCCCAGTTATGGAGTTTTTTTTCCCTAAATAGTGTAAATTGTCCCATGACAAGATTAAAACATTTTCCAAACCACTACCATGGCAAATCTGATGGAGGATCACAGCATACAGTTAAACAAAGTGAATGTTTACTACGTTAAGTGGGAAAGAAAGGCAGTATTTGTGCCACTCAAGTCAAAAAGGAGATTAGTTATAATTTATTATATTCTAAATATATTGATATAAACTATAATTATAATTAAAATATTCAAGGCGACATGAAATGACCACTCTTTTTTAAATATTAAGTGCATACATCAGGACACACCTTGTATCAGGTTCTCTCTAAAGTGGGGTATGCAGTCATAGTTGACCACTACCACCGCTAAACCTTCACATCATTGCTATCATTTCAAAATAAAATAGAATATGAGAATTTATGAACATAGCATGGATGCTATCTGTTTATTTATATTTTGGACTTTCTCTATACCCTTTCTCTTCTTCAAAGTCTAGGTTATCTATGACATCACTTGTGAAAACTTCACTGGAAATAAACTCATTTGTCTCTCAATTTCCTTAGCATGTTTTCTATATATCTCTTGTGGTACAGATCACATTTACCTTGGATTCTAGATATTTATCAACTTATCTATCTTTCTTCAAAGAATGAAGATCTCTTTAAGGTTAGCTCAGTGTTTAATTTACCCTAATGTAAATGCCTTCTTAATATTAGCTATTCAGTAAATATACTTTGGACAAATAAGAAAAAGAGGGAGCTTATAGACAAATAGTATATCATTTTTAGTCTATGTGTTAATTGTGTTTTAAAATAAGCCCCACATTAAAAAAAATTTTTTTATATAATTTACACATACAATTTTCTTCTATTTATGTTACAACTTTTCCTTGGTGTAGCCAGAGTGCCTTAGCATTACTCCCCAGATAACATATAGATGCCTACAACAAGTAACCAAGTAACACCAATGGTGTTTTCCTCGATGTTTTTATGGACTCGCCTCTTATTGGTCCACTGGGCCTCTCTCCTTGATGTTCCCATACTTGTCTCTTCATTCTCATTGTGTTATACTCCAGTTCTCAAAACTTATAATAGATTTATCATAGTATCTCTTTATACTGATGATTCATTTATATCTACTTATTTACCTTTCAACTTTCAGCTGTTTTAGTTGTGACATACCAACAGATGTTCCTTCATCCAGCCCTGGCTCTGGAGGTTGAAGCTTGTAAAGATATCTATGCTGACATCTTTTCTGCCAATAGAAAGTAATTGAATATACATATAAAGACTTTTTGTTTTATGCTAGATAGATAGCATGTAAAATACCTCTAAATATCTTTCTACTTTATATATTGTCAACTTTCAAAAACGAACATAATTAAAAGAACATTAACATGTACAGAAAAACAATTTGGTTTTATGCTCCACATCTATGCTAATTCAGTTACTCAGACTGTCCTTAAGATTAGTTTTGACCCCCAAGCTAAAAAGAAAAATATGATAGTTCATATAATTTTCAGATTATGGGAAACATAATTTTTCCATTTAGAAATTTTTTTCTATTTCAAAATTCAAATAGGATTATGAATCATCATGTGAGAGACATTGATAAAATTTGATATTTAATTAAGGTTTTATAGAAGACATAAAAACTCTTCATTAAGACTTTTATGACTATAGAAGTCAATGATATTATGTCAATGCTTAACTGAATGAAGACAATGTGTAATGAGCTAACAATTATAGACCTTTCTGGTGTTCAAATTTATAAGATACAGACAGAAAATCTGTAAGGACCAATGATTAGTATGTCCCTTAAATCAAATCTCTCAATGAAAAATTATGTCAATTCAACATTCTTTATCCAGTAAAAATATTCATCTCATGTGAAATAAAAACATTTTCAGATAAAAGCTGAGTTAAGTTTTCTGTACTACAACATATGCTAAAAGAAGTTCTTCAGGCTGTAGGAAAATGTCAACCTGTGTAGTCAGATCTACCGAAAAGAATAAAAAGTACCCCCAAATGGTAGATATGTGTAAATATGAAGATTTCCCTTTTTCCTTAATTATTTTAAAAGGCTTTTGAACATTTAAAACAAATAATATTATATTGTGGAGTTTGTAATTTATGTATTAGTAAATTATGTGACAAAATTACACAAAGGATAGGGTTAAGTCTAACTATATTCTTAAGGTTTTTACATTTTATATAAGGGTAAATATTAATTCTATTTAGAGTTCGACATATAAGAATGTATATTACATCTCTAGAGTAATGACTAAAAGATAAAAGATAAAGTGCTATGACCAATAAGCCAGGTGGAGAAAAAGGAAATACTAAAAGTAATTAACACAGAACCCCTCCCCTACAAACAGTATTAAAGAACAATTAAAAGATAAATAATAAATAAAAGGAACAATTAAAAGATAGGACAAACAACAAATAAATAGCAAGATGGCAAAACTAAGTTAATTTACATCAATATAAACATTAAATAAAAGTGGAGTAAATGCCATCATTAAAAAATATTATCAGACTAGGTATAAAAAAGTACTTAAATATACTTGATCCATGTATAAAGACACCAATAGTTTGAAAGGAAAATGAAAAGAAAAAAGCATATCATGAAAATATAGGAAATACAGGAAAGCTGGTGTGGCCATATTAATATTAGACAAATTAGACTTAAGAACAAGGGACATGACCAAAGAAAGTGACCATTTGTAAAATAAATAGGCAGTTGATTAGAAGATACAAAAATTATAAATATCAAAATATATGAGTCAAAAGCTGACAGATCTAAAGGTGAAATTAGACATATCAGTAATCATAGTTGAAAGTTTTAATACCCACTGTCATTATTGATAGAAAAAGTAGACAGAAATTAGTACAAATATTGAATATTAGAAAAATATGATCAACTATGGTAACTTAATTAAGATTTATAGGATTTACCCCCCCCACTACACTTTTGTTTTAAGGTTAATATGAGATATTTGTTAAGATAACTGATATTCTGGGCATAAAATAAATTTTCAATGCATTTTGAAAATATTGAATTTTACAGATTGTTTTCTCTGACCACAATTCAATTCATTTAGAAATCAATAAAAATAGGATACTAAGAAATCCCCATTTAGAAATTAAACAGCATGCCACAAATAAAAGAAACATTGAAAAATATTTCAACTGAATTGTTAGTTAAAAAAAATGTTGAAATTTGTGGGATGCAGGCCATAGAGGAAAACATATCTTTAAATACCTATATGTATAAGAAGAGCTACTTAACGACATATGCAACAAAAAGACATAATGACATATGCAACAAGAAGAGCTACTCAATGACATATGCAATAATAAGTAATCTTTTGAAAAAATTATTGTATTAAACCATAAAACCAGACACAAATGAATGTATACTCTTTGATTTTATTTATGCAAAGTTTAAGACTAGTAAAAATTTTAACAAAAATGGAAAACAATGGTTGCTGATAGGAGATAGGGATGCCTAGAACAGAGCAGGAAAAAGTTTGCAGCAATAATGAGAATGTTCTATATCTTGTTAAAAGTCTTTGTGATTTGGGTGCATATTTTTGAGAAAGCTCATTGAATTCTATTCTTAAAGCCTGAGCGCTTAATTGTGAATTTTACAAAAAGAAAAAGAAGGAACTGAAAAAAGATAAAAAACAAATTTTGAGCCCCAAAAGAAATCTAATCACACTCTACAATTGACACATAATATTTCCACCTAACTTCTAAAGACTGCAATAATCAAGTAGTATCAGTGGACTTTTAATTTAAAACCTTCAGTCTTCAGTTAGTTTCAGTGATTTGTGTGATGACAAGGGAAGAAAGTGTTCTGTTAATTGATGCACCTAGAACCTAGCTCTCAAAAAGTATTTTCCTAGTAAGTTTTTGTTTTTAGTATATTTTGTTAACCATAAAATAGCTTCATTTCAGTACCTGTTGATAAGCTGATTTTAAATAGTTCAACATTGTACAAGGCTCATTATGCTCCCCAATAACTGCATAACCGATGTGCAGGAGATGATTATGTAGTTTTGCCCATTTGAACCCAGTACAATGTTGGCCAAAAGCAATAATTTGACTTTTGGCCTAGATGATGTTGAGAAGTTCATTAGGGTAGTAATTGAAGAGCAATTTTCATCTGTTTTTGGAACCCTTTTTCAGATTTCATTAATGCCATGTATCAGTTTAAGGAATATGCTTGTATTCCTAATTCCTATGACATATACTTATATAGTATATTTAAAGCCAAATCAACTTTTTAATCTGGAAGATAAAACATTAAGGACCCTGATTTATGCCACTTGGAATACAAATTTATTCTGTCAACATATTTAAATTAAAGAAACATTTTAATCATTCTTATGCATTTCCTTTCTTCCTGGCATGAGTTGACTGCAACATTTACATATTGAATAAGTAAACAATGTCTTGAGGTTTTATTGTTCAATGAAAACAACAATAAAAATAACAAAAGGAGTCTGCCTGAATAATATTTGTCTCTCTCTCTTTTTTTTTAACTGTTTCTGAAGCAATCATGAAAAATAAACCACAGCTCAAATAAGGCCGAGGACCTATGGTGGTCTTGCTTTCAGTAAGAGCACAACACTTTAAATAGCATATGCATATTCTTTCCTTCTCACAATTAGGAGTAACACTCTCTGGATATTTTAAAGTAGATGTTATATATTTGCATCTTAGTGCTTTTCTCATTTTCAAGAAAAGTAGTCATCTTGGGCTTGACCTTCTACCCTTAACTCCAGAATGTATCCATTAGGTTTGATTTCACCCATACACTTCACCCCACTCTCACCCGCTTGGTTTCTGTTAAGTTTTATTTCCATATGTGCTCATGAGTGCTGATCAATTAGTTCCAATTTGATAGTGAGTACACGTGGCATTTGTTTTTTCATTCTTGAGATACTACACTTAGGAAAATTGTCACCACTTTCATCCAGGTTGTTACAAAAGGTATTAATTCATCATTTTTTCTGATGGCTGAGTAGTAAGTACTCCATGGTATACATATAATTTTTTTATTAATCTACTTTTATTAATCTACTCATGAATTGATGGGTACTTGAGTTGATTCCACATCTTTGTGATTGTGATTTGTGAACTGTGTTGCAATAAACATTCGAGAGCAAGTGTCTTTTTGGTAAAATGCCTTTTTTCCTTTGAGTAAATACCCAGTAGTGGGGTTGGTAGATAGATTGGTAGGTCTACTTTTAGTTCTTTGAGGAATATCCATACTGTTTTCCATAGAGGTTGTACTAATTTTCAGTCCCACCAACTGTGTATAAGTGTTTCTTTCTCTCTGAATCTCTCTGCCAGCATTTGTTGTTTTGAAACATTTTGATAAAAGCCATTCTCGCTGGAGTTAGGTGATATCTCATTGTGGTTTTGATTTTATTTCCCTGATCATCAGAGATGTTGAGCATTTCTTCATATGTTTATTGGCCATTAGTATATCTTCTTTTGAAAAGCTTCTGTTCATGTCTATGAAAAGAGCCTGAATAGCCAAAGCAAACTTAAGTAAAAGGAACAAATCAGGAAGCATCATTTTATTGGGCTTTAAGCTATACTACAAGGTCATGGCAACCCAAACAGCATGGTATTGGCACAAAAATAGAGACATAGACCAATGGAACAGAACAAAGAACCAGATATAAAACCAACCTCATATAGCTACCTGATCTTTGACAAAGAAGACAGTAATACACACTGTGAAAATGAATTTTATTCAATAAATGGTGCTGGGAAAATCGGATAGCCACAGGTAGAAGATTGAAACAGAATCCTTATCTCTCATTTTTCACAAAAATTAATTCAAGATGGATAACAGATTTAAACCTAAGACATGAAACTATAAGGATTCTATTAATGGAAGAAAATGTTGGAAAAACTTTTTTAGATATCAGCCTAGGCAATGATCTTTACATGATAATGTTGCTATGATTTCTTAGACTGTGAAGGGAAATGAACAGTTAGGAGAAATTTAGTAATACATATGAAAAAAAACACAACAGTTGATGAAAATATTTAAAATATTTTATGCTTTGCTTAGCTTCTGATCACCCCACAGAGAAATGAGGTCATCAGACTCAATTGTCACCAACAGACATAGAAAAGGCCAAGAGCTATGATTTCAGTGAAACTGGGCATGAGATATCTGGAGAACTCCAGAACAAATCTCTTTTGCCTTTCCCAAAATCTATTTAT